CAGTCACTCACTCCTACTCACTCTACACTCACTCACTCACTCACTCACTCACTCACTCTCTCACTCACTCACTCACTCACTCACTCACTCACTCATACTCACTCACTCACTCACTCACTCACTCACTCACTCACTCACACATCGAGCAAACAAGCAAGCAAGCAAGAAGGTAGTTTTCAAAATGTTAGTGTCCTTGATTTACATTTCAATTTTGGCAGCTCAAGCCAAGTTTCTTGAACTTCTTCTGGTATTTTCGTCTGTGAGCTGCACACATACACTAAAATCTGTGTAGTAGAATGGCGCTCGATTTTCAAAAACATTAGCCTAATCACACTGCCCTGCATATTTTCAATGCCAAAAACAGTTACAACAGTGCAACTGCATTTGCCCAACCTTTCCATTTGACAGGAAAGCGGGGATCAACATCATGTTTTCAGCACCAAGGAAAGCACCAATAGTACAACACTTTTTATGGGAAATTTGATTGCCTTCTGACCTTGCATGAGACTCTGTGGGAAGTCTCGGCTGTACTCCTGATCTAACTCGACAGTGATGACCATGTACTCCCCTCCCGCCAGCAGGCCCATCTCGTACATGTAGTGGGCGAACTCCAACGCCTCGAAGTACTTCCCCAGCACGATGTATACTGGAGAACGACAAGAGAACACATGTTTAAAGTTAAAACTTTTGGTCCAACACAAAAATTCTCTCACTTAGAGCTTTCGACCAGTCACTCTGGTCTTCCTCAGTAGACTGACCCAGTGAAGCTTGTTTCGTGGCTTCTTTGAAGCAAAATATAGCAAAAGGATAGCAAACTAGTTCTATATATGTTTTAGAATGCAACAAAATGTTGGGACTAGTTCTTAAAATCATTGTATTTATCATTATTACATACGCATTACATGTGCATGCAATCAACATGTGTCTGCAATACACTTATCACTACTATCAAAGTAGATAATGTTTGAATTTTGTATGGATTTGTATTGTATGTATTTACATTGTATTTCTATGGCCGATTATTGTAACTGAACCGAAGCATTTGTAAAAGACCCCTGACCTACCTCCTCTTGAACTCTTGAAAAGCGGCCCTGGCCGAAGAGTGTACTGTTGCTTTCTGTACGTCTTCAATGTTAACTTAAGGTTGAAAAAAATAAAAAAACTTACTCCTAGTATCGATGTACGTCTGGTCCACTATCCTGTGTAGCGGGTCCCTGCCGTCCTGTCCTTTACTGAGCCCGGGTAGGTAGGGGTGGGCGAACTCCATCTGGAAGGCGATGGTGATGTTGTAGGACGGCAGGACTTCCCACAGGTTCGCCGCAACGCTTCTCCACGTTTCTACAGGGTCAGATATAAGAAGAACGTTATTGCACGACAATTGCACATGGTACAATGTATGGCAAACTACATAAAGAGAGAGTAACAACAATAAAGTAAGTGTGTGGAATAAGACCTAATGTCGAATAAAACTTAACAAATCTATATCATAATTTTTCAAATAATAAGGAATAGCACAAGTCTATGATAAAATGTTACAATCGAGTGGGCTAATCACAAGTTTCGGAATTTTTTCTAATAACAAAGCATTCCTTTATCTTTCTTGCATGTTCATGCCCATGCACACATACGAATATGGTGTTACATCATGCTTATGGATAGTAACATAGTACATGTATTAATATAAAGGCATAAAAGGTTAACGTAAAAGTCTCAAAAACTCATAGAAAGTACATTATGTCTAGTCTAGTTGTCTTGGAAATTTCTTCTCTCTTTTTAAAGCAACTGGAGATAAATCTACATGTAATGGATCCCTTCACACTAGTTTTGTCGAATTCAATTTCATTGGACTCAAATCAATCATAAACTAATGAGTAATGTAGGTCCGTTAACATTGACGTTTCTTGGATTTAAACTGGATTTTTCTACAAAATTTCAAACCGGTTAGCTTGAACTTTGTGAAATATGAGAGGTGGTTTAATATCTGACGGGTTTCAATGTGTTTTGGGCGGTTCAGATTCACAGAAAAGTCTAACCAGATTAAATCGGTTAGGCCACGAACTTGGGCTACAAACGCCAACCTAAATGATATTCATTCCCTCCCATTTTATTTTATTTCATACCATTTCATATCCGGCCATATCTCTCAATTCTCCCACTCCAATCTATGTTATCCTCTGATGTGTACTGAATCACACAGAATACGCATTATAGAGACATCTTTGTAAACTCTACTTAAAATTCCCACCGGGTCGCGAGGCTAAAAGGTCGCTAACGTGAGATAAATAGGATTGGGATACATCAAGGAAGGCGAAGAGTCTTCACGAAATCGTCGTATCCCCCAATAATTACATACCAAAATCCTACAGAAGTCAGTGATGTGTGAATCCTGATGAAAAGCTTGGGTCAAAAAACGATTCCGCCTAATTCAAGAAGCATGTTCTTCTCGCTGAAGATCTTTTCAATTTCAAGACGTCTTGACCTTGAACTTGATACTGACATCGTCGTATCCTCCAATAATTACATACCAAAATCCCACTGTTTAAAGTCAGCGATGTGTGAATCCTAATGAAAAGCTTGGGTCAAAAATGCTTCTGCCTAATTCAAGAAGCATGTTCGTCTCGCTGAAGATCTTTTCAGTTTCAAGACGTCTTGACCTTGAACTTGATACTGACATCGTCGTATCCTCCAATAATTACATACCAAAATCCTACAGAAGTCAGCGATGTGTGAATCCGAATGAAAAGTTCCGGGCAAAAACGGTTCTACCTAATTCAAGAAGCATGTTCGTCTCGCTGAAGATCTTTTCAATTTCAAGACGTCTTGACCTTGAGCTTGATACTGACCTGTCTCTGAGACCACCAGGGTGACATTGGTCCAGCCGAAGTTCTCCAGAAGTGCGAGGATGGAGTTGGAGACTTGTGTGTCCGGCGGCAGGGTCCGGGCGAAGGTCGGGTAGAGGGACTTGTCGGACACTGGGTACTCGGAACACATCTTTAAAAAACAGTAAACATGTTTTTTTATTGTATATAGTAGAGGGGATTCATTACTCAAGCTAACCGACATCTTGCACACGCAGTCGTCCCTCAATAAGACATCTGGAGCCGCATAGTTACCGTTTAGAACTTTTATTCAGCCTGTCACACGACCGGTTTCGCCTGTGTGGCTTCTTCAAGCGTACAGAGGCTAATGACACAGGGACTTGTCGGACACTGGGTACTCGGAACACATCTTAAAAAACAGTAAACATGAAGTTTTTTTATTGGTTTCCTAACCTTCAAGTTCAAGGGCTTGCGCGAAGTAATTTAGGTTTTCGTGACATTCAAGTTCACAGAGCTCTGAGAGGGTTTGGGCTTTATCGATATGCGTTGGAAAGGTGTTATTGCACTAATACTATGCAGATAAGTGACTAGAATATCGACTTCTGAAATCTTCATAAAATCTGTTTTTCAAGCCTTCAAACTGCATTGGGTACACTTTAAAACGTATTATCCGAGGATAAACGTCTAGAACTTTCCTCCAGCTGACGATTGAAGTTACCGTCTGATATTCTTTTCATCCGAAAACTCACTGATATAGAACGTCTTCATTCGTCTTGAAAGCTCAGATCATTAAAGATAAGAAAACTGTGCTGGTTCAGATCTTTCCGGAGGTTACGTGTCAAGTGCACTCTGTTCAGGCTACTATTAAATTGGACGTTTCTAAGAGGCTCACAAGGCGCTCTAGCTTTATACCATAATGATTGAGTATTCTTATGTAACGTTCTACTTCTAATAGAATAGCTGAATAACACTAAAGGTTTGGCGAACGTGCTTTCATGAATCAAAGGGTTTTCGTTGTCTGTTTCAAACCTTTTAATCGCTTATCAATAGTCCAATGCACGTCCGAGGTCTCATAATGAGAAAGTTTAAACTATTAGAATTAATACGAATTAAGCGCATGCACACTTGTGTATTCAGATTCTTACCAAACCATGATCGGCATGCTAATATGTATCCGGCTAGAACATTAAGAATGCCGGGCCAAGTTAATTGACTCTGTCGGAAGAGTACAATAAACTCTAGCGAGAATGAAAACTGGTACAGATGGATTTTTGTTCATGCCTCCTCTTTGCATATGCCTGGGGCAATGTGAACTCAACGTGTCTAGATGGTTCTTAGAGCTGCAATAACGCAAACTTAACTTCTATATATGTCATTTCAATTTCCTGAAGGCTTTCGACTTGGTAAACTGAGATCGCTGAACCTAGAGGTTAATTCAAACCGGAGAAATTCTCCAAGGCCTCAATGAGTCATAAGCCGGCTCACTGCTTGAAATGCGCATGCAACTGCAAGAGATTTCCGCATGACATGAAAGCTGTGATCAGCACCAGGTTTTCAGCACCAAGGAAAGCGCCACTACCACAAATTGAACCTTTTCTTGGATATAAGCCACCTTAAAGTGTGCTATATTATGGATGATATGACAAAGGTGAAGGTCTCTGCAATAGAAACAAGACCCGTCTGCACATGTTTCAAGCATGATCTAGAGAAGAGCTGTTTACAACTTAGGGGCTTCATCTTCGATCAAGGCAAGTGATGATGAGAGCACTTCAGATCTAACGGCTTCTGATAGGAATCTTCCTGATGATAGTCTCCGGTGGACGGATGTGTGTAAGATGTTTTGTTATTCTGTACAAGATGTGCTCGAGGGCACGAGTATATTTTTCTCACAGTGTACTGTATAATCGTCTTAATAAGTTCGCCGGATGTTAGGACCTTAAGAGAGGACTTTTTAACACTTCAAGTAGTGTTCAAATCTGGAAATCAGCATGCCATGCTAAAAACGTCAGTTTTTAATAAAGCATACGAAGCAAACATTATTGTTGATTTTTACAACTGAAAAATGAATCTAGGATGTAAAAACGAATTGGATTATTTCACAGTAATTCAAAACACGTTTATTTTATAATTGAAAGGGGAAATAAGCATATTTAGAATTTTCTTGCATTTTTTTACCACAGATGTAATATTCCTGAATCATGATGGTTCAGTCAACTTTATATTATCATGTTATCATGTAACAGCAATTATTCTACAGTCTTGGCCAAAAGAAGCAATGTACAGGTATATGCCAGTCCCATTTCGTGAGGATCATATCCTTACTATACTTCAGGCAAAATGGCTTCCTATTTTGGGGTTTTCCGAGTGCGTAAAAATTATCGACAGGATGTTGAGCTTCTAGAGGCTTATATAATTAATTAATCCTATCAGAAAAATGGCTGAAGGTGAAAATTATGGACAGGATATTACGGGATATCGAGTTTCGAGAGGCCTGCAATTAATTTATCCTATTAGGGAAATGGCCGAAGGTGTAGGAAGTAGTAGGAAGTAGGAAACGTACGCGTGGTTTATTTGATACTATACATAAAAGACAGCCAGGAACAAATAGCTAGAGGATTCTTAGGAGGAAAGGTCCGCGTGTGTTGATACAAAATAAAGGATCGTCAGGAACAGCTCAAGGCTGCTTAACCTTTTCATTCAAGTCTGGAGGACATAGAGCTTAATTGAATGACAGGGGAGCGCTGACGATGGATGTAAACAGCTGCATTTCGAGAAATTGGAAAGAGAAGAGTTGCCGCGGCCATTCACCTGTCCAACATGGACAGGTGACTGTCTAACATGTATAGTTTTAAATCTTTTGTCAAAATGTAGCTATGGCCGATATGCGGGGATTTGGAAATGTAGGTGGGTATTTATGTTAACTCAATGGTCACCTCATAACATCTATCGTTTAATATGAATCAGAAAAATTCATATTTCTTATGAAACTTGACAAATCATGTATCACTAGTTCTATATGCTCGTACATCTATAACTGCGTCAAGAAGCGAGAAGAAGTCGAACAATGTAAATAGTAGTTCACATTAGTATGTATAGTTTAAGTATTATTGCTGTATGCTTTTCCTTGTCTATTCATGACCTGTGCTTAGCTTGTTAGAACACAAACGTACAATAAAGGTCTTTCATTCATTTAATATTAATAAACCTCTAAATGTTTATTAATATTAAACAACAAAAACAAGGTAGACGGCCCGTCAAAGGTACAGGCTACCTGGTACAGGCTGAAACAACATTGAACATTATGATAGAGACAAGCGTGACCCACTGGAAGTAAGGACTAATAGGAGAGGCAATTAAAAGGGTAACGAAGACTGCTCAGGAACAATTTCCTATCCCATTAAAAGACCTAAATGAACAACAAAACAACGGAAAACGTTTCTGTTGCTGTGCCAAATATGTGCTAAAACATGCTGAAGCCTGAGCAATAGAGAATTAGACACTAGTACCTGGAATAGATTTTCTAAACAATTTCTATGCATGTGTCTTAGGAAATAAAGAGTGTTTCCTTGAGGAAACATTTGAGGAAATGTTTAGCTACCTTTGTTTGTGTACAGAAGACAGGTCGCATACATTTGTACTTACGTAAGATATCATGGGTACGTTCCACGAGGCGGCTATCCGTGCCTCGGTAGTGCAGGTCTCTCCCGGACCGAAGAACGCGACCACCCCGTCCCGCCACTGGTCAGTCAGGGCGCGGATAGATCCGTCTTCATACCCCTGTACACGGGTTAAACAAGGCATTTAACCTTTTTTTCATAACGAGAATGATGTATATTTGCTGTGTGTCGTATGTGTGTACATGTCAGAATGGATCACAGGAAAAATAGCTACAGTTTGTACGCGAAACAATAAGAAAACGAAGGTTGAGGTTCATCGGACACTGCTACAGAAGTGAGGATGAAATCATACACCAGTTATTACTGTGAGGACCCTCACATGGAAAAAGAAGTCGAGGTCGTCCAGCAAGAAACTACATTAACCAATTAATGGACGACACCCAGCTCGACAGGAAAAACCCGATGGTAGAAATGAAGGATAGGAAGGGATGGAGAGCTATCGTTGGAGCCGAGGGAAGCTCGACCCAGTGAGTGAGTGCACGTGAGTGAGTGAGTGTACGCTAAATGTGGATCCGAATAAAGTCAAAGTCATAAAAGATATCCAGTAAAATTCATGCTCAAGGGGGATAATTATGATAAATCTGTTGATCTCCACATCAGGTCACCGAATTTCAAAATCTCAAAGGAGTTGAGCGTAATTTTGAGAAAATTGACCGATCTCCTAAAATCGCGAAGAAACCAGTGATCGAGAAGAAACCGGTTATATTACTGCCGAAAATTTCCCCATAGAACTCGCAGACTCGTGGGGCGAGCTAGTTTTCCTCTGGATGACTCCGGCTTCAGTAAAATTATGAATTCACCCACGAACCTTATGCGATACAAGCAAGGCGTTTTCAGACCATTCATTTTAAGAAGGATTAGATGTTACAGAATTGTTAACACTGAAATATGTTTTGTTTTTCAGCATTTCAACTTTGCCCTTATTCCCGAATACGTTTTACATGACTGAAAATTGCCAGTGATGCTGAGATATACTTGAAGTGTGAAGTTTGGGCATGTACCAGACAAGCTATTTGACGTATTTGTAGCGCGCATGTGCTAACTCATACCTTTTAACCGTTCTTCTAGTCGTAATTTTTAACAGTTGTAGGTACTAGTATGTCAAATTATTGCCTTATATGGATTCTTTCTAATGTATCTGTATTTTAACTCCACTATGTGCTATAGTATAAATTTTTAGATTTTTAAAATGAAATGTACATTGATTAGCAAGTCAGTACTCAAAGTTTACTGCGAATGAACCATAAATAATTTTTGAGTCTTATGCTCATAAATCAGTCTGAAAAAAATGTTGGGTGGGAGGGTATCTACCTCAGTGTTGTTCCAGACGAATTCTAGCTTCATGTCGGGCAGCAGGGAGGGGTTCCTGTTGACGTCATCAACAGCGAGTGTCATGGCGCCCGAAATAACCAGTCCGGGGTTGGAGAAGCTCACCTGAAACAAGAAACCGAAGATTTCAGATTTCCGGGAAGTATTTAGGGATGTCGTGACCTTCAAGTTCACAGACCTCCGAAAAGTGTTTTGGATTTTCGTGAATGTATTGATACTGTGAAGGGGACTGTATGATGTTATTCAATCGGGTATTACACCACGTCCTGAATTACTTCTCGTACCAACCAACCAACCAAACAACCAACCAACCAACCAACCAACCAACCAACCAACCAACCAACCAACCAACCAACCAACCAACCAACCAACCTACCAACCAACCAACTAATCAACCTTCTCGTACTCCCTGGGTCACCTTCAGGCGTGACCTTTTTATCAATCAACTGTTACAATCACCTCCCACCCACTATGGAATCAAATCTTGTAGGTAGAACAAAAAAGACACAACACAGAACTCAACCACCCAAAACAGTACTTCCGTACCCGTATTATAAGACTTAGTACAATTATAGAGAGCGCATCAGACCGGACATACATACTCGTAGCTTTGCAGGGAATCTACAGCAAGACGGGCTTTTCAATTTACGGCTCCAGAAGTGGTCCAGATGTCGCCATTAAGTCTAATTGAAGCAGAAGTTATTTTTGGTATCTTTCAAGCTTCGTTCGCTTTCTGATACTGGGCCTTCCATAGGTCTTGTCAGTCAAAAAAAACAGTAGGTGATCATTCGCTAGAAATAGGAAAGGGCAGATAAAAAAAAACTTTGCCTATTTAAGGAAAGAACATGTAAATGCTGCACTGGGAATACATTGGAAGGTGAAGGACATTTCAAATTGATGGTTTTCTATTTCTAAAGAAGTAAATTATTGATAGAAATGTCCTCAACATTTCGACAATCCTTTCATTTTTTAAATCTTATGAATCATTATGACTCATAGAAATCTTCCTGCTTAAAAGTCACTTAATCCGCTTTTCTACCAAATCGCTTGACAATTCATATCCCATTGCATGAAGAAGTCGAACTCTTATAATAGCTTGAGTGGAAATAGATTTAAAATAGTTGTTGTTTAGATCTATGCATGTGTTGTTTTGCTTTGTTTGCCCTTGGATTTGTAATGAAGTTATATGATCTCTAAACTTTCGTAAAAATCCTACATACATTATACTATATTTTTATAGACCAAAAAAGGGTCTGAAACAACTTCGGACGTTAGGTCCCAGACTTCTACATGTAAACAGCCCATGATTTGTTACTATAATAATAACCAAGGTGTATTGATTTTAAAAACCGTCTATACTTACCCCACAACTGCCGTCGTTTTTATATAACGTCTGTATGAGAATTAAAGATTCGCGATCGGCCGCGGGTTAACTTTGAATTGCTGTGAGATTTTTCTTCCATGTTTCTTTTTTTATCAGTGCACAGATGTCTTACCCCTCTTTTGTTGTCCTCGTGTTGTATTGATTTTCCAGGCAATATCACTCTTAATCTTTACATTCAATCTACATCAGAGCATATATGCGTCGTTTTCATGCAACATGTGTGTATTGTAAAGATCCGGGGAAACTTTAAACAGTTGTCAGAGATTTTACTTGTGTTTTTTATTAGCGGAAATGTATTACAACGGCCTGTCATATACACATGCGTCTCACAATCGTAAGGGGGGGGGCTTACATGAAATAATGTGATTCATGTCGTACGGACCAAGAAAGAGATTAGTACGTAGTGTCAAACCATTAACCACGACATGCTGATCCATTCAAATGTTGGGTTATGACAGTTTAAGGAACCCATCCGTGGAATCGCATGTACATGTGCCATGATTTTTAAGATTAATTCATGGGTACCGGAAAATTTGTCGACGTGTAGACAGAATGAAAAGGTCTCAAAACATGTCTTACAGTGAATAAAAAAGTCTTACTATATTGTCAAGGTCACAAATTTACTAAGCTAATTAGATCAATATTATATATGTTCATAGCATTATTTTGTAATATCTACATGTAAGATACATTGTCATCATTTATGAATGTTGCATTTTTTTCGTCGTATTTATGCTATCGTATTAGTAGATTACTACAACTGGTATATTATTGCGATTTCAATGTGATTGACATTTGTATTTTCGTATCTACTGGGAATTAAAAAACAGAACATCACAGGATTCAGTACAGGCAGAACTAAGCTGGTAACGGCGACCAGGACCTGGTGACCCACAAAAAGTACAGACGCAATAAAAGATTCTAATACATAAACATATATACAAATGCTGTCGTGTAAAATCAAACCATTTCTTGTATGCAGAAGAAGAAAGAAATCTTGACTTACCACGTTATCCGTTGTCACCAACAGGCCCAGTTTGACGCCTTCATTCGGGACGACACACTCACAGAACATCAGGAAAATCAGGAAAACAACGTCCGTCCCCATTGTTGTCAGTACAGTCAAATCTCACTGCATACTAAACCGCATATGAAACATCTTCTCCCGTTTGGTGGTGTCGGGTAATTAATTGGCTGCCTGAGCTCAGCAGATATCAGAGCGCACGCGAAAGAAGAGGCGCAGCTTTAGTGTATTTAGTGTCCACGGAAAGCACATTTTAAGTCAGCGTGAAACAAAATGTTCTTTGAATATGGTTTGAGGCGGCGCGGCTCCGTAGGTCAGGGCTTCAGGCTCGCGGTTCTGATTAGAATAGCTTAGCATCAAAGATGTGACAGTATCCACCCTGCTGTGACGGTTAGAAGTCGGTGCGTCCTTCATCAAACTGCAACGGGAAAATGAGGTTCTGCCTCTTCAAACCCACCATTCAGAGGGACTTATGAGGTTGGGTGTTATCTACTGGGCTTGGCATCATCCTGTTAATGCGTGAACCCAACAGGCGCCGCATGTACTGTATGATTCTCCGCACGGTCAAGAAGTCGCGGCCGTCAAGCGGTTTTCGCTCTGCCTTGAAGACGCTCTCCCAGCTAGCTTCGTCTTGTGAAAGGCGTCCCAGAAGTGGATCTGCCGGCTGTCGTCGTGATGAAACCGCAACGAAAGCCCCCGCACTAAAAAAATAACTGGCGTGCTTTTAAATCTGATAACAAAAAGTCAGTTTGAACGGATCGATCACGACGAAGCTCGCGGTCTTTTTCAAGAGCAACATGAGTCGTCCCTGAAAACAGAGTGATGTGCGCCTGTGAAGCCGAAAGAAGCTACTCCCTGACGGAGCTCGGGCCATAATTGCCTGTTGCTAGCCGCCCAGTGCGCGCTCTACTCAATACTCGCGGGTTTACCACCCACGTACGGGTATATTGATTCGCACGTCTATGTATTAACCAAGCCTGAGGCAGACGCAGCGGCTGTTAATTACTCGTATGTTTGTTTTGTGTCCTTGCAACAGCTGACACTTGCTGCGAGACCCTATCAGAACGTACTAGGATGATAAAAACTTCGGCATTTGTTTGGGATGCGGATTTTTATGGTAGAAAGTTCACGAGTTTTTTTTTGGTTGGTTTCCTGTTTTTTTGGGGGTCAGATTCCTTAGGAATATTCTTCCTCTCTTCGTGCGATGTTAAGTTGATATGCCCACCTGTTTCAAGGTGAGTAAAAGAAGCAATATAAATCCGGGCCAAAAACCATGTTTAGAGACGGAGGACGCCACACACTATCATTCTATACACTACTTAATGAATCACGTGTCTCTCTGTCATCTGCAAAAAGTGACATTAAAGAAGTCACTGTGGTGGATTCATTCCTTGATACAGACTGGTGTCATAAATTCGAAAACTTGTCCAATAATTTGGGTTGGCTATTGAAGTTTAAAGATCCTTATTCATAAAAAATGTCTCTTTTTTTCTGTCGTGGATTACGAACAACCTGAGCGTTTATGGAATATTGATTTAATCCTTACCCACTGATCAATATGATAAAGCATACAATGACACAATGTATGTGTATACTTTTTCCATTAGGTTTGCCACCATGCTTTAAAACAAATCTGGGGGTATACGATTCCCACATTTGACAACTGCCACTGATACTACTTAGCCTGACTAAATCGCGCTCCTGGCGGCCACCGCCCACCTTGGGTAAGAGCTTGTGTAACACAGGCTATGATACTACTGGTATATTCGAATTCTGTGCTACAAAATCTGTTGCTTTTACATGTAGGAGCTGATTGAACCTCCTTACCTAACCTTTGCAGTCAATGGGCTATATTCAACGACCATCCTGTGATGACGATGTTCTAGTTTTCATCAACCTTATTCTGTCATCTTAACAAACCTACTTAATGCTCCACTCCCGGTGTGAAGTGACCTTATGTAATTCTTTTTATGTAAGACACTCATTATCAGCAACAAAATCAACATGTGGTGAACTGATTTTTGCCCTGAGAGTTCAAAAGGGAAGATTTTTCACATTGTACTTATATGCAGTACACTTTTAAACACACCACGTTGTTAATCATTGTGCAATTATATATTGCAAAACTACATTTCACCCTAATAAACTTATTATCATTATCCATGCCAGTTATGTTTTCATGATTGATTTTCAATCTAACCAAGAAAATACATTGGTGTGCCTTTATGTTTCTCTATCTTCCGGACAGTGCCACTTGTAACATTTCCTTCACTTCTACGATCTTCTCCCTCGGTTTTCCCACTTTCTCCCCTCTCATCATCTCCTCATTGTCTATCTTGTTCCAGTCTTCAAAGGTTACAGCTTGGATTCCTGCAGATACAAAAGAGAAGAAATTGGAGATTTCAGTCTTATTGGAAGTATACAGTCCTCGGCTTCATGAATTCCTTCATGTCGCCACTAATTCCAGCTGGCCCCAGGCCAGATTCTGAGATCTTCATCATCCCCTTACCTGTGTCGGACATGTGCATGTCACTCTTCCCACCCCCAGTGCTGTCAACCTAACTTTGCTGAGATGACAAAGAGATTTTTTGACCTGTCATTCTTCCTGTCAATCTTCTCCCACCCATGATGTGGTATCAACCTACTATATCTGGACAAAAAGACACACATACTAACAACCATGCAAAACAATACTCATACTTCCATACCTGGAAGAGAAAACCATATAAGGTATTTACTAGTATGGCTGCAAAGGTTGGCTAGGACATTCATGATTGTGAAGAACATGAATATACCATGTACATGTTAGCTGGACTGTTATTATGTCAAAGAGCGCGGTTACACCCGCTATATTACGCCGAAGGGCGGTTATACCGGCTATACAGATACACAAGCTGGTGTGTTATGCCGAAGGGTGGTTATACCGGCTATACAGATACAGAAGCTGGTGTGTTATGCCAAAGGGTGGTTATACCAGCTATACAAATATAGAAGCTAGTGTATTACAGCGAAGGATGGTTATACCGGCTATACAGATACAAATACATGAAGTAACTACAAATATAAAAGGGCTAAGCCTACCCCTCTTGTGCAACAATGGTTGGATCCACTCTTGCCCCCTGACCCCTCCGAGCGGCTGAAGTACTCCAGTGGTCAGGTCATCCACCACGGCCTTGCCTGTCTCAAAGCCGTCGGTCATCGTGGTGAGAATGACGCCAGTGGGACCTCGTCTTACCCAGCCGCTACAGTACAGACCTGGGGGAAACCACACGTGTTCAAACTTAACCTAATCTTTTCACTACAATTGCACTACGTTCGGAAATGCATTGTTAACAGTAAAAACTAGCTTAAGTGAACTGTGAACCAAGTAACAGAACACGTTGAACTATGTAAAACCTTTAGTGCACTATGCACCAAGTAACATCTAGCGTCAGTGCACAGCAAGCCAGTCAGAATTGCCCTGATGAAGATGACAGACGGTCGATTGTGATAAAAGAACTTTGCTATTCATTAACCTAATCTTGCTGCTGAGGTTGTGCTTTGTCATGGAACTTGTATCAGTTTAAAAATGGGTATAGGCAGCAGGGAGTTATTAATGTTGGTGCATGTAAGTTTCTGTGTGTACGTCAGGCACCACATTGTCAATTTAAAGGGACATTATGTAATGATTTTTTCACCAAAAAGGAAATGATTTAATTGAAAATATCCTCACGTGATCGTCATTTACTGCCACTTTTCAACATATTAGTCCAATTTTATCCAGCATTTCTAATATTTATGGTTGCGCGCTCTAAAACAGCCCACATAAGGTGCATTTTGTGGCACCACCACAAAATACCAAAATGTGAAGAAACTGAATGACATGGCCTTTAATACCTTTGCATCCTGTGACTCTCCCAGCTGTGTTTGGAATGACGCCCTTCTGTGAGTCGAAGGGGACAGAGTCGTCTATGGGAACACTCTTGTACCCAATACTCCTGAGGACAAGTCCGCAGGACAGGACTTCTGTTTCGCCGGTGGGAATAGCTCGGGCTGAGCTGTCTGAACCCTGGGGGGGGCCAAAATGTTAAAGTTAAATTCATCCTCGCAACCATTAGCATTGTCGCATATGGCGTCACCCATCTCCATTTTGTTGCCCTTGGGCCACACAGTAGTGCAATTCACTACAGCGGGGGGCTAGTCCACTGGTAGTGGTGAGTATGTACTCCCATACTCTTTCTCAAATGCTGAGTGCTAAGCTGAAAAAGCAGTACATGTACATGTATGTATACGTATGTAGCATTCTTAAAGTATTTGGGATGACTCTGTGATTGAACTCACGACCTACCAAATGCAAGGCAAGCACTCTCCCCGCTTGGCTATTACACCGGCCATGGTCAAAATGGACAAGTTCACAAGTTTCCAAGACAATGAGAATCTTTAATAATTTTACATTACTGAGGGGAAAAATGTATCCTGGATACATGTATGAGTTCCAATGCGGTACAGCTTACTTTGATTAAATATAAAATAAATAGATATAAAAATTTACCTCTAGTCTGTTCACCCCTAGTCGAATCGCTGATATTCTAGTTCCATCTTGAGTGGGCAGAATTTCTAAGGGACTTCTTAAGAACTTCAGCCCCCATTCTCTGGTGGCCTGGTCCAGCCTCTGTGTCTCCTGTGCAGTAGCGCCCCCTGTCTGAGATGTCTTGATCAGCAGCTCTGTCAGCCTTTTCCTGGGCCTCTGCAAAGCTGCAGAAATAATCACATTGATTGATTTCTTTGATCTATCAGTGTTCAAAATACCTATCTGCATTCTGCATTTTGCAGAGAGATTTACAATATTGCAGAAGAAAAATTCTACAATCTGCAATTTTGCATTTATTAAGTTGAGAAGGTTGTAGTTTGGAGGCTTGTGTATTTGCAGAAAACGTTTCCAAATTGCAGAACAAGATTTTGAATCATCTGCAATATTGCAGAACATTGAAAAAAATATTTCTACCACTGTATATAAATATCCAAAATAGTTTTTGCATTATTTTTGAAACAAGCTCTGTTCTTAAGTACCATACACATTGATTTGACACTGGCTTTGCCAAGTGTCTTATTTGATGAAATATTTAACTTGTTGCTTTAAATGATTCTACTCTCCAAACAGATATTTTTACAGCTCCCTGTTTTTGTTACAAACATGTGATTTAGACCTCCAACATCTGCTTGGCAGACAAATTTTGTTATCCTGACTTGAGAGACAAAATTGGCATGATTAATATCATACATTAAATACTGAAAAAAATTAAAAATAGTCATGAGTTTGCTGAAATGACAAAAAAAATTCAGATCTTGTAAAAAGTTCTGAACTGGTGAACAATTACAGTATTGAAGTCTACCACAAAGCAACTGAAAAAGGGGGTTACCCACATTTGACTTTGTCCTCCAGTCCGGTAAAGTCGGCAGGGTCTAAGACTGGTCGACAGTCAGGCAGCTTTGTCATCTCACGGAGCTCTTTTATGGTAAAGGCTGTCTGTGAGATGAAAAATAAAATTAGCCTGGGTACTACCTCCGTAGTTCATGCCAGCTCCTAATTGTTTGTTTATTGGGATTTTCCATCAAATGAAAGGGAGGGCAAAACAGATGCATACGCACCTCTACAGGTTGCCCTTCCTCTGAGCTCAATGTTTGCCCTGGGATATTAATTAGTTGCCGGTGGAAACTACGGAGGATGGCAACCCTCTACTCTTACTGCAAGTACTGTGTGATTACTAGTAGCCTTACCAGGCTTCGGGAGGCGGCTGTAAGGAGTAGAAATGGGCCAAATAGACAGATAACATGCCAGTGGAGTTGCCTACTAGTAAAGGAATACAGATTGCAGCTCTGAAAAACTGTACACCTTTAGCAGACTAACTCCCAGGTTATCTTTTTGGCCGGTTTCTATTCTTTCCAGCCGCCTCTGAAGCCTGGTAGAGGTGTGTGATTGGTTCTCTAACATGCTCATGGCTAGCCAAGTAGGCCCAGGTACTTGAGTAAGACCAGCTACTTGAGTTGAGAAATAGAGAAAGGGTTGCTGACGCATCTGTCAGGAAGATGCCATGTTGTTTACTTACTTGTAAAGGTCCTCTCCTGCCAACAATGTAGACAGTCTTCACCTGGCTGGTCTCCAAAGCTGCTGCCGCATGGTCTGTGATGTCTGTTTTCTATATATATAGGGGTGGGGGGGAAAAGAAATCATTCATCTGGTCTAACTCTAAAGCATCCAGATACAGTAGGGCCATTGTCATTAGATAGCTTTAAACAATGTCTAGAGTTATATGTTCAAGGGATAGGTGTAACAAGTCGATTGGTGTAATGTAGCCAGCTGCCGCCACGCCGCGTGCCTGCAAAGCTGGTGTGTTATGCCTAAGGGCAGTTATACCGGCTATACAGATACAGAAGCTGGTATGTTACACTGAAGGGCGGTTATACTGGCTATACAGATACAGATACATCCATACATCCATCCATGGACGAAATGGCCTAACTTTTCTTGTTGTTAGTGACAAGACTCAATCAAATACTAGCATTGAAATGACAGACAGTGGATAGACTTACCGGTAATAGTATTTTGCTATTGTTGTCAATGTATAGTATGTTTTCTACATTTTCCTGTGTGTCATGCTGTGTGTTAGAATGGACCACAGGAAGAATAGCTACTGTCATGTACATGTTCATGTATGCTAAATGCGGGTCCTAATAAACTCAAACTCAAACCCTGTTGTGTCGTCTGTACCTTGAGAATGCTGAGTGGAGTCAGAAGTATCCTGGCCACGTCTAGTGCCACGTTTCCTTGTCCTAAAACCACTGCTGTATCTGTGTCCAACATGGGAGCCAGCTAGAACAAGCAAACATAAACATAAATTTGTACAATGCACATCATTATATTGAAAATGCATTAATGTCCTGATACATATCAGTTCTGCATTTAGTTTGTTATCACTTCTACCAAAAATCTAAAAAAGAAGATTAACTAGACAGGTAACATATACAAAGCAATATATATGTTTACTTTTATGTAGGCCAACCTAACAAATTACTGCTCTGTTTATAATTATTCTTACTCAAATAAGCCACCAAGCCTAATAGTACTATTAGATTTAACAACACCAGCATCTTAGGTTTGACTTCATGTTTTAGCTATAGCTATCTTTATGATCCAGTTAGAAGGAAGATGATTTGTAAGAAAGTGTACCTACATGTTTGTCCTGTGGAAGACCGTTATACCAGCCGACAAACGCCCTCGCTGAGTACACACCTGGTAAGTTCTGTCCAGGAACACAAATTACATTCACATAATTTCACAAGTACAGTGTTATACTTGAGTGAATATGTAATAGGCTGGATACAATCCTTTACTAGCTAGTACACTCTCTTGATTGTTTCCCAGGAAAAAAGACCTGGTCCCCACATATGAAAAGAAAAATGAAGTCCTTCTTGACTGAATTCTGGACTAGCCATACAACTTATTAAGAATCTTATGACAGACACATATAAAACAAACTAATAAGCAAACAAACAAACAAACAAACCTCTCCTGGTATTCCAAACTCCTTGTCTGCATCAGCTCCATATGACTGGAAAATGAAGTAGATATTTTATATTTGAAAAAGTTATCAGAAAATTAACTATCATGCATATGGTACTAACTAAAAATAGTAAAAGTGTATTTTTTTTCTGTGAAGGTAAACATAAAAGCATGCAACAACCATTATGTATATTATTACATACCATAATGACTGCATCATATGCCTGCCTTAGCTCTGCCACTGTCACATCTTTGCCGACTGTTACATTCCCTAGAAAGGAACACCTGTCATTGGCTGCTGTGTTGGTAAAGGTGTTGATTACATTCTGAAATGAACAAACAAAAATGGGAGATTTCAGACTTCTGTGAAGCATTTAGGGCTTTGTGAATTTATTGGAACAACCAAGGAGATGAGAAACATACAGAAACTGTGCAGGGCTGTAGGGCTGCTCATGCAATCCTTGGCTTCCTGAATTCCCCCATATGCCAACCTAATACCTGCTGGCTCCCCTGGCTCCCCATTTCCTGTGTCTGATCTTTTGAAGTCCTGTCCTTCTTTCTGTCAATCTTTCCCCACCCTCACACACAAACCCACAGCTCAGCCACCCAAAACAATACTTCAGGTAGTCAGAAAACAATGTTACGGCCTTTCAGTGTTTCACCTCTACAACTACTTGGAGAGTCATGTACCATGTATAGGAATGGACGTTTTACAGACTTTCAAATGTCCTTGGTATAAGGGAATATCATGTTGGTTTACCTTGACTTCTGGGTGATCTGGTGCCACACCAAACCTGACTAAACCAAACGGTACGGGTAACTTTTCATAGATGTCCACTCTTGCAGTCTTGTGGTTCTGCAAACAAAAAATACACCAAAAACAAACATTTTTGTTTGACATTTTGTGGAAGAATTAAAGACCAATCTTCAAAACTATTGAAAGAATGAGTAGCAGACCCTAGTTACCCTACCATGATAAGACAAGTTGTTCAACAATGAAAAAAGTATCAGAAACACCCCTAACTTTCTTAAATGGAAGAACCCTAAGTTGACCTACCTTCAGGATGTGTTGGGCAGTGTAGAAACCGGCCGGACCACTTCCGACGATGCACACGTGTGGACCAGGTGTGGCGGTGTGGCAGTACCACCTGCGATGGCCAGGTGTGGAGGCGTGGGAGTACCACCTGCAATGACCAGGCGTGGAGGTGCACCTGTTCTGGCCAAGTGTGGAGGTGTGGGTTAAACACCTGTTCTGACCGGGTGTGGAGTTGTTGCTTAGCCACCTGTGATGACCAGGTGTTGATGTGTGGTAGAGGCACCTATTCTGGCCAGGTGTGGAGATGTGGAAGAACCACCTTTTCTGACCAGGTGTGGAGGTGTGGAAGAAGCACCTGTTCTGGCCAGGTGCAGAAACATTGCAGAACAACCTCTGGGGAGACTGGAAAACTGTCTCACACCAGTGTTTCTTTACAGCACGACAGTACACTCCAGTAGTCTTACCTGTTACAAAAAAGCACAGAACATTATGTTCCAAATACTTCGAAAAACGTTTAATTCTCCTTCGCATAGTTTCAGTCTACAGAACTTTTCAAAAATATTTGGAATTTCATACTACACTAACTACAACTCTATTCTACTAACTCTACTCTCATACATAGGAGCTTTAAAATAATTGTTTTTACTAGTATATATTCTCAGGCCTCTAAATGACATACACATCGCAAATCTACAAACCCTTCTTGAACTGTTGAAGTAAAAACATGCTTATTTTACCTGACATTCTCCATAAAACCCCTGTTAACGCCAGTCTACCGGCAAGAACAACTTTCTGGGCGTCCATCTTGTCTTTCCTTAGAAGCTTCGTGTGAGAAAGACTTTGGAATGTCTCGGCTCTTTATCTTATACACGACAAGGTTACTTGTTTAAACCGTCAACAACAACAGAAAGAATGTCACATGTACGAGCTTTTAGCAATCAGCTGTTGGGGTACTGACGTCACTGAAATAGGGAAGAAATGACGTCACCAAAACAGTGCAGAAATGACGTCACCAAAGTTGTGCACAACATGTGCTTCCCACAATCCCTTGCGTACTGGTCCTGATAGCTAAAAAACGCAAAACACATTTATATCGTTCTTGGTCAATATATTCTTCTAAATACAAAATAGATCAGTATATGATACTAATTTATATTTTGTCGATTTATATTAAGTTGAATTTTTATTTTTATAGGTTTTAATATGTTGTTAAAGGTGTAAATGTGAATAGTTTTGCGTATGTTTGCGCTCGTACTTGTAAAGTGATGACACTGCAGCGATTGCAGATGCAACCGGACCTCGTTCTGTTGTGTTTGGCTGTTGTAATAGCGTCGTAAAATAGCGTAAACAATCACCTTCCGCGACCTCTCAGCTCAACAGCCGACTTTCAAGCAGTTTCATCAGCCTGTGGATCTATTTAGAATGCAGAATTTCCACCTTCTTGTGCAATAAGGAGCGATGGATCTTTGCGAGGTTTCTTCTCTCCAGCAGACGGTTTGTTGTTCGACCATGTTACGAACACTAATAATGCACCTAATCAATACATACAGGTTACTGTCTATAGCATGTTGAGGTGCTTCTAGTCGTGTTCTTGTCGTCTTGAAGTCGTGTATTAGTCGTGGAACCTGCTGCTTTGTGTTTGCGTGTTGTACTTCAAGGAGTTTTCCACAAGGATCTTGATTGCTACGTGGAACGACCCAGAGAACTGTGTTATTCCAGCTGGACAGCCAGTACAAGATTTCATAATTTTACACAACTGACCTTAACAAAATCAGCGCATCTTCGAGTCTTAAGGAACAGCTGGAAGCCAAGAACTCTCTTCAAGAAAAAAAATCGACTCAACTGAGGGTACGAAAAACAAGTCCAGAGCATCTGGTCCATTCCATCTGCTAGTTAATCAGTTATCAATTAGATCTGGACCTTGTAACCCACTGAAACAATAGGGTTTGGTAAGTAAACGAGGTTAAAGTATTTAAAAAAAAAAGAACAGGTAAGAGTCTGAGACAAGATGGCGTCGGCGGTCGACATGCCGTTGGACGCGGCGAACGTTGCGGTGTCGAGCGATGATGATGATATGGTGATGGGTCAGGACGGGGACAACTTCTTCGCTCAAGATGTCGCAGAGATGACCAACGGGGGAGTGGTCAGCGGCATCCCGGCAAAGGTGGGCTGCCGTTTTGTTTGTTTGTTTGCTTGTGTTGTATGGTTCGCAAACAGCCTTAAGGTTTGATATTCACCTTCGGAATATTCACCTGAATCCAGGCCATTAGGTACCCTTACTGGGTAATGAGGCCGTCTTCGTGGTGTAGACAGTTTGGGCATTCAGTAGGAGAAGACGTATCCATATCTATCAGGGTGATCCTTCCACTCTATAGCCAACTTGGTCTTGAATACATTTACTGAGCTGCTGTTTACTGTGGCTGGTGACAGTTTGTTCCAAATTGGGGTTGTTCTTGCAGGGAAGAAGTTGGACCTGGGTCCATTTAATACATTGGTTTTGTGCAGAAAACCCTTTAATTTTGGAAAAGGTGGGACAATACGTCTTCCATGGTTTAAAGAAGAGAAGTCAAACCCCTTAGAGACAGTTTTAGACATAGCTAATAGCTTTAGACAACTACTCTGTTTCATTGTTCTTTTATGTTTGTAATTTGCAATTAGCCCCCGGGCACGAATTTGCAATAAAATTCTCATTAAAAGTATAAGCAATGACGTTACATCTTGTTGAAGCTCCTTGGTATAAGCTGTAATACACTTCATATTTGGGAACAGCAAATAAAATCCACATAATGTACATGTACATGTGAAACAAATACATCCGGTGTCAAGCCAGTCATAGTAGTGGTATCAAGTATCAGGACACAAAATGTTAAGTGGGTAAAATGGCCGAATCTCTAATTATGATTGACGGATTGAAGCACCCTGCTACATCAAACGAACTACTAAAATAGCCTGGTTACTAGATCTATTGTAGTTCCCAAGTCTATATCCTCTCTGCTACACAGGGTTCTAGCTAGGATTTAATTTTAGCGTAGTGGTACTGGCCTCATGATGAGGGAGCAAAGCGGAGCTTTTAAAAATTTGAGTTTAAAAAGAGGCCATTTGAGGGATACCCAAAGGGAAAAATGTTATTTTTAAGGTATGTACAATGTATCCTTGATTTTTCACATTTGATCTGGCATTCTTGAACAAAGAAATACAGTCACAATGCCCCTATGCTGTATTAGAAATTAGCATAGGGGGGAAATTTAGCGTAGGGGGTCAAAATTATAGCGTAGGGGGGGAAATTTAGCATAGGGGGTCAAAATTATAGCGTAGGGGGCCCCTATGCTACTTTGCACTAGCTAGAAGTTCGTAGAACCCTGCTACATATGAACTCCCCTTACATTACAAATTGCTTGTGTTTCTGCAGAAGTTGCTGGTTGCCCCTGACGACGACACCCTGGGTATCCTGCTGAACCAGCTCCAGGCCAGACTGATGGAGGGGCAGGGAGAAACCATCTGGGAGATCGGAAAACCAGAAGGTATGTAGATCTAATAAGGACACAGTGGTTCTTGAGAATTTTTTTTCGGCATATCTACAATGCTAGGTAACACTGTGGAAAGTGGAAAGTAGCCAGAGCTCCAGATACTTTTTTCTGCATTAAAGTATAGGTTACTTCTTGAAGCTCTCATGAGGATACACCTATTTCATTTGGTGGTTCTTGAATTTTTTTAAAGAAAAACGTGAAGCAATAGGGCAAACCAAAACAACAAACAAGAAGCCACCAGGCTATATAATCAAACAATGAATCATTAATCTCAAATCACTGCATTGATTGATTGATTATTTGACTCCTTGGCCTGTCTGACCAGGACCTAAAGAAACAGTTGTCACTTGTCAGAGATGCCAGACAGTAAATGTCGGAAAACCAGTTTCACAACGTTTCATCACCCAGGTGTCAGATCATGGAGCTAGAAAAGGTCGATCAGCTACAAGAATTTATGTCCCTTGCAGGGGTCCATACAAAAAAGGCTAGCATATAGGGTAGGCATTTTTTTCTAGGGTCGGTCAGAAAACAGGAAACACAACATTTTTTTTCCTAGGTCTTATTACCATATGATGTACTTAAATATTTCCTGGTCTGTAGCTCCCACTGAGTCCCAGCTCACCAAGTTAATCTGGTGGTTTCTGGAAGAGAAAAAACATGAAGTGACAGGGCAAATGTAGCTGTCAGACTCAGTGATGCCGGACAGAAAATGTTTCGAACCTCCATCTCAATATGTGCTTGAAGATGAGTTCTCTGCCACCCAGAATTGGTCAAATACCATGTACTGCATCTGTAGTTGTAGAAACATCCTGCAGCTGAATTCTATCTTTCTTCATCTTCTTCCATTGTGTCTTCTGTCTTGCAAGCTCCCTCGTAGTTTCTTTTCATTTGTATACATCATCTTCATGTATGTAATGCACTTCACTATTTCCTTACAGACGGTGATGACGTAGGGCTGACAGAAGCTGAGCTGAAGGCGTCGGAGGACACCCTGCGGAAGCTGGCGGACTCCATCGACGCGGTGGTCACTCCGCTCCGGCAGCGGCAGCTCGGCTCAGGGTACATGACGGAGTACCTCATCAGGAAGAGGGTCGACGAGGAAGACTTCATGGAAGTCAGGTAGGGTGGAGAGGGGAAAGTAGTCACAGAGCTTGAAATTTCCTGCTTTCTGCATGTCTGATGCTGTATGGGAGCCAGTGGGAATACATACAAAAGGTATTCCCAATAATGAATGGAACAAAAAATTCACAACAATATTTCACGGAGGTACATTGTATAAGATCTTTGATTTTCAGTTGTTTTTCTTCAATGAGACCCTTTGAGCCTAGAAGTGCAGTAGTACTTTTTTCTGCATACCCGCATTCAAGGATTGCACTTAACTTACTGCCTAAGGTACCTGGCATGTAGGAATAACTATGGAAACCCAAGCAAACACAAAAAGCAACAAAAGCCAACCTTTGTACATAGATCCTGGGAAGGATATAAAAATTATGAATCTTTCTAAGAATGTATGAAGTGTTAACTTGACTGCAAGTACATGTAGTTGTACTGGTGTGTTTACATTTATTTTGTACATTACCCTTTCTTTGCCTCCCAGAGTTGCAGTGGTGGGAAATGTGGACGCTGGGAAGAGCACGTTGCTAGGAGTGCTGACGCACGGCGAGCTGGACAACGGGCGTGGCGTGGCGCGGCAGAAGCTGTTCCGCCACAAACACGAGATCGAGTCCGGGCGGACCAGCAGCGTCGGAAACGACATCCTGGGCTTTGATAGTGACGGGAACGTGGTCAACAAACCGGACACACACGGTTAGTGGGGGTTTCGTTAAGGGCTCTAGCCAGCTCAAATTTTTTTGCTGTCAGCCCAGGTTCATAATTGGACCTGGGGGGAGAGTGCTCAAAATCTAGGGGGTCTGGGACCACATTTTCAGAGGCAAACCATGGGGTGGAAAGTGGTTGGTTCTTTGGATGTTTCTATATTTTTACCCAAGGTTTTTGTCAATTTTTTCTTATCAAGCGAAGGTTCACAGATTAATCAGTCTGAGGTTTTTCTGTCACAGGCCACAAAGTTCCTGCAATTGATGGAAAGCCAAGGTTTCATTCATTTATTATGCAGTAATTTTTTAAACACCACAGGAGCGGAGCCTGTTTTACTTTGTTTATATATCTAGGTGCATCAGTGCAGCAACAGTGAAAGATTAGGTGCACAGCATTTCACTCAGTATTTTTATAGCCCTGCTTGACCCTTTGTCATCGTGGTTCTTTTAGGTGGAAGCCTCGATTGGATCAAGATTTGCCAGGAGTCCAACAAGGTCATCACCTTCATCGACCTTGCCGGCCACGAGCGCTACCTGAAGACCACCATATTTGGTATGACTGGGCACGCTCCAGACTTCTGCATGCTTATGGTAAGTAACAGCATTCTGTATCTGTATTGCCAGTATAACCACCCTTCGGCGTAACTCACCAGCTTCGTAGACACGCGGCGCGGCGGCAGCTGGCTACATCACACTGAACAACTTGTTACACTTAGCCCTTGAACATCTAACTCTGAACATTGCTTAAAGCTATCTAATGATAATGCCCCTACTGCACTTGGTGACAGTGAGTTTCACTCTGCAAATAGTTCCTGCTGACCTAAAGCTAAACTACTGCAAATTACAACTAAACTTCTTTTGATTTTTGACTTTATTAGGACTCGCAATTTACCTTTTCATCTCAGCTATTCTTCCTGTGATCCTTGGCTGAATTACTGCTAATCTGCACAACTACTGCACAACTACGTATACCTGGTACATGCTATCACTTCAGGTTGGCAGTAATGCAGGTATGATATCTATCATCGGCATGACCAAAGAGCACCTGGGTCTGGCCCTGGCCCTGAACGTTCCTGTCTTCGTGGTGGTGACAAAGATAGACATGTTACTGCCAAACTACTGCCAAACTACTACTGAACTACTACTAAATTACTGCTTATATTACACAGGTTGGCAGTAATGCAGGTATCATCGGCATGACCAAAGGCACCTGGGTCTTGCCTTGGCGCTGAACGTTCCTGTTTTCGTGGTGGTGACAAAGATAGACATGTTACTGCCAAACTACTGTTACACTACTACTGAACTACTGCCAAACTACTACTGAACTACTACTAAATTACTGCTGATATTACACAGGTTGGCAGTAATGCAGGTATCATCGGCATGACCAAAGAGCACCTGGGTCTGGCCCTGGCGCTGAACGTTCCCGTTTTCGTGGTGGTGACAAAGATAGACATGTTACTGCCAAACTACTGTTACACTACTACTGAACTACTGTTAAACTACTCCTGATATCACTTCAGGTTGGCAGTAATGCAGGTATCATCGGCATGACCAAAGAGCACCTGGGTCTGGCCCTGGCCCTGAACGTTCCTGTTTTCGTGGTGGTGACAAAGATAGACATGTTACTGCCAGGCTACTGTTAAGCTACTACTAAAGACATGTTACTGCCAAGCTACTGTTAAGCTACTACTAAATTACTGCTTATATTACACAGGTTGGCAGTAATGCAGGTATCATCGGCATGACCAAAGAGCACCTGGGTCTGGCCCTGGCGCTGAACGTTCCCGTCTTCGTGGTGGTGACAAAGATAGACATGTGCCCTCCCAACGTCCTCCTGGACACCCTGAAGCTGCTGCAGAGATTACTGAAGTCTCCCGGCTGCCGCAAGATCCCCGTCCTCGTCTCCAACAAGGACGACGTCATCACATCAGCCACCAACTTCACATCAGAAAGGTGAGTTAAAAAGTCCTCCCGTAGCCCTTGACATGGTCACATGTGGCGGTACCCATCTCTGTTTCTGTAGCTCTTGGGCCACACAATTGAGCAATCACTACAGCAGGGAGCTAGTCCACTGGTTAAAGCTCAGAACAATGCATTAGGCCAGGGGGGGGGGGTAGTGTGTTTTCAATTTCAGCCTTGAAAAGAAGTTAAAAAAGTTATTTATCATTTATTACATGTATTTGTACAAATGTATTTTTCTGGGCTCCTATGGAAATCAGTATAGTATTTCAAAAGACTGATGGCAGGGTTGGACAAGTTTTCAAAAATACACTTGCCCCATCGGGCAAGCACATGGTCATTTCTACTTGCCCGAACCAACTTTTTACTTGCCCAATGCAAAATATAAATGACCTATTTCATACATTTTTAAATTTTACCGCAAAGAAATTTTTTCAGTAAACTCAGCACTTTATATTGTTCTATGCTTGACCAATATTTTCCAAAGTAAGGAGATGGTTCCCTGATAAAAAGTCATATTATGGGAATACATTATGGGAAAATGATGGGAGATTTTGCTCCAAACACTGGCGCATAATGCCACATCCCAAAAATTTACTTGCCCAATCGGGCAAGTACAGGGGGATATTTACTTGCCCGAACTGTACTTTTACTTGCCCTGGGCAAGTGGGCAATGGGACTTGTCCAACCCTGGATGGGACAACCCACTTGTTTCCAGGATGAATAAAAAATAAAGATTTAGGTTTGACTGTTTATTCTTAAAAACTAACAGACTTTCTCCTGCATCTCCCATGTTAGGGTGTGTCCCATCTTCCAGGTGTCTAACGTGACAGGTGAGAACCTGGACCTGCTGAAGATGTTCCTGAACCTGCTGTCAGGTCGGATGAGCTACGACGAGCACGAGCCGTCAGAGTTCCAGATAGACGACACCTACTCAGTACCAGTGAGTCCTGCTATTGTTATATTTATACACAAATTGTACATACCTTAGATCTAACAGCAGTGTTCTAACCAGTGTCTGTCTTGCCATCATTTGGTGGAATTTTGCTGCTCCTGATGGACAGGAATTTTGCTCAATGTGACAAAAATTGTTTTTTATAGGATGTTATTTGCGACAACCATACTAAATTGGGGGCCATGTTTATTTTCAACCAGTGTAATGGAACTTCACTAGTATTTAGAGGTATGGAACTTATAAAACAGGGGACCTCAAACTTGGCAATTCCCATCTGAGAGGACTTTCTTTACAGAAGCTCGGCACACATTTCCATGGGAAATGTTATAACATACATGTACTATATTATACACATTCTTACTTCATCAATGCACTTCTACTGTCTGGGGTGTCGTGGGGAGGGACAGTTATCATACACATTCAAAGTCTGAAATCTTAGCATCTTAAACAGCAGTGTTCTAGCCAGCATCTGTCTTTCTATCATTTGACGGAATTTTGCCAACAAAAATTGGTGTGTAAAGATATGGAAAGAGATGCCATTAATCTAAGCTTACTCTACCAGCAAAATTTGCCCCTCAAAATACAGGAAAAAGCATTACAGAGGTCAAGGTTTCAAAATACATGTAAGGTACCTTTCCAGGGGCACAACATTGGTGCCTTCTAGGGATTTGAACCCAGAACCTTTAGATTCTAAGTGTTTTTTTTTTTGTGTGTGTTTGTGTCTCAGGGAGTGGGAACAGTGGTGTCGGGAACCTGTCTACGCGGGGTGATCCGGCTCAACGACACGGTACTGCTGGGACCCGACCCCCTCGGGCAGTTCCAACCGGTTCCCGTCAAGAGCATCCACAGGAAGAGGATGCCGGTCAAGGAAGTCCGCGGCGGCCAGACTGCATCCTTCGCTCTCAAGAAGGTAGGAGAACACTCTTGATTTTTAACCTACATATCACTCAGCATTAGTGGCTGGACTGCCGAGACAGAGTCAGTGTCAGAGTTTTGCACAAAGGAAAGAATTTACTTTACATGTCTATCCCTAATCATAGTTATTGCTTCCAGAAGATTGCTCCAAAGTTGATGGCAGAAAAGTTCTCGTATGTTTAACAGTGTGGGATGTACCAGAGACTGTTCTTGTTAACCATTTGAAGTTTTCCCTGCTGCCTATTCTTATAAACATGAAAAATTTGATGCCAAATGACTACTGTAGCATACTGAAGTGTGGTGGCCTCCAAAAGGTGCACTTAGGTGCACCTGTTCCACCATGCCCTCCATGTACATGTATATTATGTATGTGGTCAATCGTAGTAAAAATTAATGAATAAATAAATAAATGACGGTCAAACAAGATGGCAGACTTGATGCTGAAAACAAAACCTCTGTAAGAAACACTAAGGTAAGAAAACAATTCAAGCCCAATGCACTAGTTTGAAAGACTTTGTTCTACAAAATCTGGTAATTTTTCTTTCTGCAGATCAAGCGGTCTTCTATCCGTAAGGGCATGGTGATGGTGTCACCTGACCTGCACCCACAGGCATGCTGGGAGTTTGAGGGGGAGATTCTGGTGCTGCATCACCCAACAACCATCAGTCCTCGCTACCAGGCCATGGGTAGGTTGGGAAACTGGCACATTCGTCAAGATAGTTCTTTGTTGTAGGAGGCCATGACAGAAATCATCTAGAAGGACTAAATAAAGATGGCTTGAATTACTTTTTCTGCATACATGTACCTGCACTGGTTAACATTGAAAATTACCTGCACCAGACAAATTTTAACTGCACAATACTTGTTTGGGCAGCAGTCAAATTGTAGGAGGCTATGACAGAAAGAAGAAACCACAAGGATCTACGAGGACTGTTTCTGTCACTGTCTAAAGATGACACATCTGTAGATTTGTGAATGTTGAAAAAATGCACCTCAAATTTATGTTGGAATATTAGGAAGATGGTTTCCATGTGCTTTACTTTTGTGTAAGTATAAAAAAGTGATGTAATCATCAACATGTTCTTTCTTTCAACTACAATCTCAAAGACACTGAACCCTTGATTTTTCGCCCTTCTCCAAAATTTGAATGCTGCCAAATTAAACTTATTTTAGGGTAGCATGTGCAGGATTTTGAACAATTCTTTGTCAGATAATGTAGACGTGACTGTATTTTAAATTTTTGTTCTGTTTAGTTCACGTTGGAAGTATACGGCAGACAGCGACCATCATCACCATGAGTAGAGACTGCCTGCGTACCGGGGACAAAGCTCAGGTTCGCTTCAGATTCATCAAGAACCCAGAATACCTGCACGCCGACTGTCGTATGGTGTTCCGCGAGGGCAGAACAAAAGCTGTGGGGACAGTCACAAAGGTACTGAATGACTTTTCTATTACCCCTGTACATGTAGTCACTTTTGTATTGTTATTGAGTATGTCAGAAAATTTTCTTTTGTCACCTTGATTTTTCTCCCTGCATTTTAAACTGTTGGAGATCCCTTTCATTTTGACTTTGTTTATAGGTTTTAAAAGATCTCTTATCTACATCTGGATATAGGGAGTTTTTTTTACAGTTAGGCCACACCAATTTAATTTGTTGGTTCTCAGATTCGCCTCTTCATTTTTTTCTGATTTGCAAAAAAAAAAAAAAAATTCTGGTTCTGCTCATATTTTGCCCCCAACAGTTGAGGAAATTCCTTTTCTTCCTAGTTGTTACAGTTTTTTCCATCTATCAATGCAGTGGTTTGATTAAAAGTTCAAAATTTATACTTTAAATTTTAACCCAGCCTTTTTTGTTGACTTCATGGCTCATATTGTAGGCTAGCATTTGGGGCTGCTATAATAGGATGCCTAGACCTGTTTTTATTTTTTTTTCGCCCTGTCGCTTCATATTTTTTCTGAAAAAATCCGAGAACCAACAAATTAAATTGGTGTGGCCTTATACAACCAATAGTGTTTCTCACCTGCTTACGTTTTGATGCCTGACAGACATCTTTCTCAGAGCTTCTGACTTGAGTACTGCTTTTTGCCACTTACATTGGCTACATATACAAATGTAGCAGCAAGAAGTACATGGTTTGGGGTTTTAGAATTCTATACAAATACCCGAATTATACAATTAAAAGGTATACAAATAAGTGGAATCCTCTGTAGTACTCCAGTCAGTAGCTCCGAGGAAGGTGTCTGTCAGGTATCAAAATGTAAGCAGGTGAGAGACACTATAGGTTGTGTAAGAAGACAATCCCTATGTCCTATGTCTTACCAACATGATGAAATTATTTACAGAGATTTCTTGTCTGTTTCTCCAGATCTATCCCCACGTGTCAGCCATGGCCCAGACCTCACGCCAGAAGCCGGGCAAGCATCACCACGGACACCACTCCAAGCACAAGGCCCAGGGTGGTACCGGAGGGGGAGGGGGTGGTACCGGAGGGGGTGGCACTCCTGCAGGGGGGTCGGGGACAGGAACGGGGGCAGGGGGTGGGGCCAAGAAGGCGGTCACCCCCGTAGGTAGTAATGAGCCAATCCCGCTCGAGAAGAGAATAAAGCACGCCCCGACTACTGGTAACAAGCATCTAGGGACCCACGGGGAGGTGTGAGTGGTCTGTAGCACTGAAAATTTTGTCTCGTATAAACAATTGTTGCCATTGGAAACATTTCAACTATAGGGTATAAGTGTTAAAAGAAACAAGTGAGGAAAGTAAGTGTCCAAGCTTGGGTTTGAACTCAGTTGGAAAATCGTAATTCTAAAACCCAAATTCTCTATGCCACGAAATATCACAAAGCGTATTCACAAAGCGTGCTGATATAAAGTGTGCTGTTGTGGGATATGGCATTGTTTCCAATGGCAATGACTGTATACAAGAAGGCAGCACCTAAGTATGCTAGTGTAGGATGGAAAGTATGGGGGAGGGGGGCAGCTAGTGTCATTTTACTCCCAGAAACATGGAATTGCCTGTCACCTTGGTTTGCTACTTCTCAAAAACCTTACATTCAAGAAAACCCTGCAAAACTTGCGCCAAAACCATTTATGTATTCAGATGTGGTACCTGCCATGGTTAATGCAAGACTGTAAGAGCTAGGATGTTGATCGAAATTTGCTACAATGGCAGCTTTATACCTTGTAGAATCTGTATTATCCTTTCATTGTTAAGCTAGGGTGTAGTGACAGTTCTTACTGATATAGAGAGGTAGGGGGTGGGGGTTCCTGTAGTAGTTTTTAGCCAAACAGTATAGCTTAGGAGAAAACCTGTCCGTGTTAGTTTAGGCTCTAGTTGTGGAGGGAACTAGTTGGAAAATGTGTCGTAGCAGCTGATTGGTGGGTTCAAACAACGGTCCTGATTGGTCCAGGTCATCGAGTAGATCAAGTGCATAATTTTTTTAGTGCCAGCTTAGTGGGTAGGGAAGCATGTGTGTGCCTGTCCATTTTAGAATTTTAGACCGTGAAAGCTTTGACTGAAACGAGAGACAAAATTTGTTCCCTCTATGCTGATTTTGGAAAAAAATGTTGCAAAAAGGTATGAGTCATGGAAAGTGTCCAAAATACTGAGACAGTATCATCACAATGTGAAAAAGGACAGTTACAATGTAGGTCCTTGTCATATACATACACCTTGTCATATAACAGCAAATTGAAGACTCTTGTGAATGTATTGTACAAATGCCACCTGTCTTGTGTTAGAAAAAGTTGTCAAAGGTCCATTCTACTGGAGACTTGTAGAAAATTGTGCGACAGGGAAAAATCCCACAACACGAGACTGTGATTTAGTAATTTTAGTCTCTACCAGACTATCTACGCTGGCTATATAGGAGAATATTTTCCAGGGGAGTTTGGCTGCCTTGTAGGTTTGACAGGCCGCACAGGAAAGAAACTACATCCCCGCGGCCGGACTTCCTTGGCCAATTTTACTCTCCTTTTTGCAGAATTCTACGATCCGTATTCCCGTAGAAAGGCCTGGTGGAGGCTATAGTAATTTTTTCAGCACAATCCTGCCACAGTTAATGCATACATTGTTATTTCATACACAGTAGATTATTAATATTATAAGCTAGGCTACAGTTTTGAACTGCATCTGCACAAGGTATAAAGTGAAGACCCCTTATGTCTAAACAGTTCTTGTCCAGGCCATGCTTGATAAAAAAACAAGAACCCTTTGTTTGGCATGAGTAGAAAATATCTACAGAACATGAATGCATGTTTTTAGGGACATGACAACTACATGTACATTGTGAGCAAGTGTTACCAGTAGATCACGATTTCATGGCCAGAACGTAACACTTGAACATCAATCCATCTACCTTTTTGCCATTAGGGTTTCCATCATAAATTTTTGTCAATTTTTACGTCACAAGAAATGTTTTCCTTCCAAGGTCTAGTTTTGTTGGCCTTCTCTTAGTATTTCTCCTGCAGGAAAATTACTTGAGTGATATATACATGTAAGATACCAGCAAGATTTTTACCATTTTGTTGATATTTTAAGGTTTTATGAGTTTTTGCATTGCTTTTTGCCTTTGAACTTGAAGGTTGCTGATGTGAACTCTGAATTTTGCTGTCTGACTTACATGCTGTGTAACGTTACATGTAAAACAGTAAACATCGATGCAAATGATGGTAGGACAGTATTTGGCCAAATCAATATCATAACTATTTAAATTGAATGTCATCTTATGTAAATTACATTCATGTCTTTCTCATCCCAGTTGTGGTTACAAAAGAAGTAAAGTTGGTTTTTGAATGAATTTCTTTGTGTGTCTCTCTTTCTTTGGTTGTAACAGAGTCTAATGTTAATGTTTTAACTACTTTGCTTGTTGTGTTTAAAACAATACATGGAGAATGCAACACATTCTCTTAGATGTACAACCACCTGAAGTGAAATGCACTTAATTCCGGCATTTTGTATACAATACTGTACGCGTAATACATTGATTCTTTAATGACACAACAAAAAAGTACAGAAACTTTTGTATGGTCTTCTACATCTTAACTAAAGATCTAACAAAGCTAAATACATGTGTGGATAACGTCATATTGCGTACAGAGTATATGTATGATGTAACAATTCTCTAACATGCGTTCTCTAAGATCGAAACATTCTTGTATTTTCCTATTTGAACACTCCATTGGTTTTCTCCCCTGAGAATGTAGTTGCATTTATCTATAGGATCTAACGTATTGAAATCAATTGAACAAGCGGAAAGAAAGGTGAACAGCAATAAGCGCTTATCATTGTATAGTGTACATATAGAATACAACACGGGGTATTCCGTATCACCCGAGGTACCAGCCCGACCGCGCGTCGGATCGCCCGACGGCCGAAGGCCGGAGGGAGATCCGATCCGCGGGAGGGCTGGGACCGAGGGCGATGCGGAATACACCGTGTTGTATTTTATTTATGTCATACCCACCCAAGAAAACACGCCTTTCAATGCAAAATGAGCGAAAATTTGGTGTCCCTAAACCCAAAAAACGCTACAACATCAATCCCAACGTCCGAATTTGTATATTCGAATTTTCGAAAGCGGCGCACGCGGTTAGGGCGAAACGCGTTCGAATCGTCCTATGGAACATTTGGAAGGCCCGGGCCGTACGCGTTAAGAACCCTCGGGCCGTACCGCTAGTTATCACACGGGCCGGAACACCTGTATCGAACGTAATCGCGGCCCAGGTAGGACATAAATTCCATTATAATGCATGTAATGAGAGGGTTCCTACCAATACCACTACCGACGGTATGCCAGGTACAGATAACCATAACTCGGTACAACTTCTGCAAGCGACACCTGCCGACTATTCCTAGTACTACAGTCTAACGAACCACGTGACTACCATTGCGCGCCTGCGTGGTACCGCCTCTCTCGTCGGACATTTTCGCCAAGATGGTAGGATTTTGTCTCATTCATAAAATCGAGCGACATCTGCCTTCAATATGAAAAATTAAGCGACAATATTACACGAATATGATGTTGAAATGTTTTTGTGTCCACTAGAATTCCTTTCGCTGCCTTCCCTAACGTCTTTGTCCCAAAAAATCGCCCCAAATACGACGTGTTACGAACTTGTGGCCTCGTCAACAATTCATGAGACGATATGCCATATATTAACTTCCTTTTAAATCATTTTTCAACAAGGAAAACGAAGATTCGTCGTCATATAATTCTGAGAGTATAATTTGTGTCATCTTTGATTTAAGTATGTGGATTTTGGTAAGCTTTTTGTACCTTCAAAGGAAGGAAAGGAATACTACCGACACCAAGTGGGGAGGGGGGCATTATATATTTACACTTACTATTACACTTGCGTGCATGTGTGCAACTTTTTATTGAATCTCTTCTGTTGTTTGTTCGTAAATAAACAGGTGAACGTTCCGAAGACCAGGCGCACTTTCTGCAAGAAGTGCAAAAAGCACTGTAACCACAAAGTGACCCAGTACAAGACGGGCAAGGCTTCCTTGTACAAGTTGGGTAGGTCGATATTAATGTACGATTTTTATATAATTTACGATCATTGGGTGATATGATGGTTTGCATATGCTTTTTGCGTGTACATGATGTGAACGGCGATACCCCATTTAAGCTCATATTGCTGTCAGAACAAGGATCGAGGTGTTCAAGAATTCATTATTTTCTAGAACTATCGCAGAGTGGAACTCGCTGTCACCAAGTACAGTAGGGGCATTGTCAATAGATAGCTTCAAACAATGTTTAGAGTTAAATGTTCAAGGGTTAGGTGGAACAAGTCGTTCGGTGTAATGTAGCCAGCTGCCGCCGCGCCGTGTGCCTGCGAAGCTGGTGTGTTATGCCAAAGGGCGGTTATACCGGCTATACAGATACAGAGAACTAATAGCTACATTTTTTTCTTTGCAGGAAAGAGACGTTACGATCGTAAACAGAGTGGTTATGGTGGTCAAACTAAACCCATCTTCCACAAAAAGGTAAGGAATTTTTATAAAAGCATAATATATATTTTAGTTGTTTGACACTACATGAGGTATCAAGGGTGTCCACTGCAAAACAAAGTTCTTCTGAAGACACTAAAATGCTTGTCGTCATGCTTAGATGAAGGGTTGTTGTCAATGATTAGAATCGTAGCTGACTTGCCTACCACTAGTACATGTGGCATGTTGACACATCGTTATGACACCTCTTAGTGATCTGAGACAACCATAGCCGAAATACTACTAGCTACAGCAACTGAAGTACTGACAGTATCAAACTGGAAACAAAACCTCAGTACCACATGGGTGTAAAATAAAAAGGGAGGAAGCACTGCACTAGATGAAACAACAGACGAGTTCATACACTATTTTTTTTTTTTCATTTCTACCAGGCTAAAACAACCAAGAAGATTGTTCTCCGTCTGGAGTGTACTGACTGCAGATCCAAGCGGATGGTGGCCATCAAGCGGTGCAAGCACTTTGAGTTGGGCGGAGACAAGAAGAGGAAGGTAAGACCGCGTGTTGGCATCGCATGCACTTCGAATGAAACTAATGGTAGTGTAGTTTGTGGCATGATGTATACTGACAAGCATGAAATGTTGTCCGCTAGGCAAAACATACAAAACTCAAAGGGTCATGTCTAACTAGCCTCCATAGCATGCCAAAAACTGGGGGTTTTGTGGGTCTTCAGGAGCTTTTATGTGCTATTTTCTGATTGCATATAGACAACATAGCCGGCCTGGTTGAATTACCCCCGTTAGAACTGGGCTAATCAGAAAAAAGCCGAAAAGACCACCAACCCCAACCCCCCCCCCAC